CACCTTTGTGATTTCACATAGTCCTGCACATAGTCCTGTCACTCCGAACTTAAAGTTTGAGGATGGTCAATTCCATCATTCCAGTGACAGTGATGTTTTACCACCGTCATTCCAGGTGATTCCTCACCATTTCAACTTCTGGGTAATTTTTTCAATGACAAAATGAGCTCCACTGTTGTGTGATCATCACAGTCTGCACTGATAGCTGTTATTTCACTAACCTGATTGAGTTCGCAGTGAGGTTGGCATTATTTTTACCCAGACTCAAAACTAACTCAAAATTTGAGGATGGTCAATTCCATCATTCCGGTGACAGTGGTGTTTTACCACTGTCATTCCAAGATTAAATTCCATCCATTAAAGGCCACTGTCCAAATCCCACATGTTTGAGAATGACGGAGTTCAAATGAAACAACAACTACTGCATTCCAAGCTTTTCCAGTGGAACTTCTAGTCTTTATGGATGGATCCAGCCGCACCTCGTCCACACCCAGCTGCTCACCTGATCCCAATCATGTTCATCTCGCACCATGGCTTCAAGGCCGTCCCGATCCACGCAACAGTACATCAGGCAATGGAACCTCAATGAAGGCAATGGAAAATGTGCAATGTCACGCAATGTCAATGGCACGCCCAAAACCAGCACATGAAAAAATTCAACAAACCCGAACCTTTACCTGACTCTAAATATACAACTTAGACAACCCAATGCAATTTAGCAGCAAATGCCAAGCAAAGAGCTCGACAACATGAACACTCCAGCGATCATCGCGAAGCTGCAGCATCCCAGCATAGCTTTCATACCATCTGCCGCGCGCAAGGTAGCCCACGTCATGGATATAGTTTTTGCAGTTCCTGGGATCTGCAGGAGCATCACCGTAGCGGCGATGGCCACCGGACGGTGGCCAAGTGACATGTCCTGCAAGTCTTCACGGCGTTGATGGTATATGTCTTCACCGACAGTGAAATGCCCATCCTTCACGTGCTGAAGCAGATCCAAAGCCATACCATTTCTGGATAGGGTATGGAAGCACCAATCGGCTCGTCGCCAGTGATATAGGGCCCTGTCCGCAAGGACTTTCTGTTGTTGATGGCAACTTCGGCATGCAAACTTCCATTCGGACATAACGTACATGGAGCCTGCTTTCCATTGGCATGGATGGACTTCCTTTCGGGACTCCTTCACAGAGTGACACAGTGGACAAAACAGGGGCTCCACTGCCGGAGTCATCGCCAATGAAACCATTGCCATGGCAACAGAAAACAACGGAGAGGTGACAATGGCGGGGTGACAGTTGACAGGTGGATGCCAAAATGGCTGCAGGAGTGAAAAAATGGAACAACACATTTGTCGGTTGACAAAGTTGACAGATCTGAGCTCCATGTGTCATCAACCCAAAATGAAAACAAATTTGATGCTGCAGCGGTGAAAATGATGCCCAATATTTCCCAGCCTCAAACCATTCCATGATCACAGTGTTGATGTTTGGAATCCTGCCATTGAAAGAATAGCAGAGCTGCAAAACTGCACACCAGAAATTGGCTAGTTACTGGTTCAAGTCAATGATGGTGAAGTAAAAAAACATCGCTTGCTTACAACAGTCCTTGTCTGATCCCATTCCGCCTGCTGATCCAGCCAATTCTGCATCGCACGGTGCCCATGGTTAAATATGGTTATTTCATGAAGTTTTAAGTTATATAAGTTGGGTTGAGTTATATTTCTTAAGTGCAAACTACCCTCACAGTGTGAAGTTAAGTTGGGATAAATACTGAAACTCATGGTTATTTCCTATTTCTTCTCCATGTCCATTGGTTGGATTAATCGACCATGCCCTGGAGAGCATGCGAGCGATGCCCGACAATGCCACAAACGCGAGCACAGCCCGCGGTCGTTGGTGAAAAGATCCAAAAGCGCATGGGCAAGCCTGATGTAATACTAAGTTCATGCAAATTGTTGTTGTGCATGTGTAGTCATGGGAACATGTTTGAGCCTATATATGGAGCATGCGAGCGAGGCCCGACAATGCCACAAACGCGAGCACAGCCCGCGGTCGTTGGTGAAAAGATCCAAAAGCACATGGTGTCATTGTGAACGTGAGGTGATGGCTGCACATGGTTGTGTCAATGTTGCCAACATCATTTTGTAACTGCAAGGCTCAGAATATCCATGTGAGACCCTTGGCACCGGTCTTCCCATGGCGCACGTATTGCCCACCTGCAGTTGAAGATGGTGAAGCACATAGTCCTGCAGCGGGGGCAGATCGGGTGTGTTGAACCGACATCATGCTTGGGAATTAGACTTGACCATCCTTCAAAATGGTGGTTGGATTGATGTTTTTTTACCATCCATCTGGGAACCACGACCTTTGACCTGATCATTGCAATCTTCAAAGTAGATGTAGTTGATGTCCAACCTCAAAAGTTCTTTTCATAGTTTTGGGAATCCCAACATTTTGCATTTTTGTGATTTCACAAAATGGCACTATGCCATTTTGTGAAATCACAAAATGGCAATGTGCCATTTTGTGATTTCACAAGTTTTCAAAATTGATTTTTGTGATTTCACAAAATGGCACAGTGCCATTTTGTGAAATCACAAAATGGCAATGTGCCATTTTTCACAAGTTTTCAAAATTGATTTTGTGATTTCACAAAATGGCACTATGCCATTTTGTGAAATCACAAAATGGCAATGTGCCATTTTGTGATTTCACAAGTTTTCAAAATTGACAATTTTGGATTTTTGTGAAATCACAAAATGGCACCCTGCCATTTTGTGAAATCACAAAAATGCAAAATCTACTGTGATTTGCCTGAACCTGAAAATAACTAAGGAGGGGGGGAACTCTCGCCAATTTTTTCCGGCAACTTTTTTGAAAATTAAGTTCCACAACTGACCAGGCCTGAATTTCCGTGGTTGGCCCACCTGGAAAACCAAGCAACAGTCATCGTTTTTTCAACATGTTGGATCATCATTTTTTGGCATCCATTTAGGAACTGTTTATGTTTTTTCCCTACTTGGAGCAATTTCAGAAACCCATTCAAGCAGCTTGCAACCTCATCCACCGATGAATCTCCCACCCAGCACTCACGTCGTGATATTCTGTTTTTTTCTCACGCTGTGATGTTTGCGGAGGAAATCTTGAGGCCATGCATAGGCTTCCACAACAAAGCGCTGAGATGAAATCTTGATATGACAATGTCAAACTGCAAAATTACAGTAAAACCAAAAACAATTTGGTCGAATGAGTGCAGCTTGCATTCCCAAAATCAAAACATAATATTCTTGCCATGGTAGCCCCTGTACGTTTTGAAATTCAGGTCGCCATGTGATCACGATAGTGCACGCGACATTCTGCTGTTGAAGCCTTATACTGCAAAGATTTTGTTGATATTCCAACCAACCTTTCTCACAGACCCTTATTTTAAAAAACTGTTGCAACATCTCTTGACGGCTTCAACAGTGCATGCATGGAAACCCACAAGTGACCGGGACCAGTGCAAAGTAACAAAACATGATCTTTCTTTGATGGTCGTATAGGTACCTCTGTGCAAACATTTGTTGAAACGATGCTACCTGGTACATGACAAATACTATGCACTTCAATGAGTTCCCATGCTTCATCAGCCAGTATACCTGAAGATTCAGGCAATGAAGCCACATCACATTGATCAAACTATTCAACATTATGTTGCATCAATATAACAAAGCTGAGGTTTCATCCATATAACACACATTTACCACTGAGAGCATATAAGCTGGTTTGGTTTTCGTAGCTGTCACTGCCTCTATGATGGTGGCTGGCCATACCTGACTTGAAATAAAAGCCAGTGAAACGAGCCCTTATAGGAAACACTGAAGCACGCATGATGAGTTGGAACGCCCATTAAGCTGAGTGCAGCTGGCAATTGCCACTTTGTGAGCATGATATAGTATGTTGCATGTTTTTGTTTACATTGTTTTTGCCACAGTGTTTGCTGGGCACATTGCGCCTGCTGATCCAGCCGATTCTGCATCGCACGGTATCCATGGTTAAATATGGTTATTTCATGAAGTTTTAAGTTATATAAGGTGAAGGGCTGGATCAGCTATAACGTTTCGACCATGCCCTGGAGATCACAGGATGCTCTCCAGCGATCTAGCCAGAGAGCCCATGATCTCCAGGGCATGGTCGATACGTTCCCCCTGCTCTTGCCGCTCCATGGCCATCTGGCGATTTGCCTGGGCCTTCTGGTACTTCCAGCCTCCACGCCTTCGGTTGCTTGCATCTCTGATGCGCTTCTGCCTTGGAGCGGCCAAGGGCATGAAAACACATATCATCCTCATGATGTCTCAACACTGTGAACTGCACCTAAACTATGCATACTTCAAAAGCATATCCAACAAGATGAGATTTGGGAAGTAGAATGTAAACCAACTTCGCTAGAACTTTCACTGAAGGCACGCCGGGAACACCTACATGTTGTTATAATGTAATATGTCTATGCTGTGTCCAATAAGAAAGTACAAACAACAAAGGTGAAGGCCAACGACTGTGTTGCCTTGAAGTATTGCAATAGTATTGCCTGCGAGCATAGCCCGCAAAGGCAGTGCAGCGAGCAAGGCCCGCCTGCACCCTTCGACAAATATATAGTTTCTGAGAATTTTGGGTCTATAGTCTATTCATTGCAAAGAAAAATAACTACCAAACAAAAACGACCATGCTGAAAAGGACAAGATTCGGCTGGTTCTCGCCATCCTTGTGCCACTCCATGGACCAGCTGACCTCTCGGTTCCTGGGAATCGCAAGCATGGGTCGCTGGTTGCATGCATGCATAGAAAATTTTGCATGTTCATAACATGGTCTGCCCTGCAAGGACCATGGATTCTGAAGTTTAAAAAACCTTCTCACTGGTTCGCTGCCCTGAACAAAGTATATAGACCTTTGCTAAATGACTGCTGTATAAAAAAATATATAGTGGCAAAAACTTAAAATATACAAAGCATGCAGCCTAGAATCGCGCTCCATCCATCTGACTGAACCGTCTGCGACATGCATGCAGTGGCATGGTGCCAGTTGGCGCCATCTGCATGCCACGCGGTCTGGCTCTGGGAGGCATCTCCATGCTGCCAGGTCTGCCAGGAGCCATCAGCATCGTGCTGCAACATTGCAGCAGGGGTCTTCCAGCTGTTGGAGGCATCTCCATGCTGCCAGGTCTGCCAGGAGCCATCAGCATCGTGCTGCAACATTGCAGCAGGGGTCTTCCAGCTGTTGGAGGCATCTCCATGCTGCCAGGTCTGCCAGGAGCCATCAGCATCGTGCTGCAACATTGCAGCAGGGGTCTTCCAGCTGTTGGAGGCATCTCCATGCTGCCAGGTCTGCCAGGAGCCATCTGCATCGTGCTGCACCATTGCAGCAGGGGTCTTCCAGCTCGAGCTGGGAGAGCTGCAGCTCTCATCGTCCACATTGACCACGGCCACATGCTTCGGCGGCGGCTGCCCTTTCGGGTGTGCAGGGCGAGGTCTTGGCATGGCCTTGACCTTTATGGTCTTCACTGCAGTTGGTGCTGGCGGTGGTGGTGGTGGTGGTGGTGCAGGAAGCACGCTGCCACCACCACCACCACCTTCATGCGCTGCATCATCGGCTGCTTTCGGTGCATCAGCCGAGGCACCTACATCAGTGGCTGCTTTTGGTGCATCAGCCGAGGCACCATCATCGGCAGTCCATGCATCAGCACTGCATCTTGGTGCAGCATCCATCGCCACCGCCTCTGCTAAGTTCCCCTCCATGAACTTCTGCAGGAAGCTGCCAGGGACGTAGCCTGCATGCAGAAGCGTGGAAACAAATTGCCAAACCCGCAATGAGTGAAGTAAATATGTTTATTGCCCCGTCCAACATGCAATGAGTGAAGTGTATGTTTATTGCCCCGTCCAAAAAAACTGCATTTGAAACATAAGTGGTTCCCATTCTTTCGGCCGCGCCTTCTGGGACAGCAACATCCTCTAGCACCTTCGAAGCAGAGCCGCGAACTGGCAAGCGGTCCACCTTCGAAGCTTCCACAGTGTCCATCACGTTGCCCAAAAGGTCACGGAGAACTGCAAACAACATTTGTTGGAGTGAACTGTCCAGGGCAATGCATTTTTGATGTTTTAAGAACATATAGCGGTATACTGTAATCAATTAAATTGTAGGTTTTCCCCAAAGGGAAATGGGGAGTGAATCTATATATCGGCGACCCTGCTATATGATACCATGCGTCAAGGTGGGTATATTACTAAATATAAATCATAAAACAAGTGACAATTGACCTATACACACAACAAAAGGTGCCGACATGTCGCTGTCTTCATGACATGCGCTAAGCCAGGAGGAATGCAGCAGTTTGTGAACATGTCATGGTCTCATGCCTGTAGCTTGCATCAATAAAATTGGAATTTCTTTCAAGGGATGGATGATGCTGATCTCTTCTTCACATTAATTTTATCTTCTTGTTTTTTCAAACCAAATTTCATTGTACCTTCGAACCTCACCAGGCCCTCCCCCATAGTGTCCTGTGGGGCCAGCTGAGCTGCGGAATCATTCAGTAGCCTGCGTGGGGCGGTGAGCAAATATCATTATAGAACTCGAACATGTTTTGCTTGGTTTAGGTCATGCATGCTGGGAAGCAACCACAAAATATATTGGGCCACATTGAAATCCACATGGAAGCAAAACGGCATCCATGGCCCTACCAGAAAGTCTGAACGAAGTTAAGTCAAAAAGATCGTGTTTTTACTCCATGTAGCATGCCTTCACGAATGTTTCTGGCAAAAAATGCGTATATCATTTTAACATGTTTGAAGACAATGCGGTTTGAAGCTTATCCCTGCGAGCAGGCCCGCAAAGGAAGTGCGGCGAGCAGAGCCACGCCAGCACCAAGTGAAGTGGCCAAAGCTGAAATATAGTTCGAATCAAAACAAGCTACATAGTGAAATTATGATCTTGCAGGATAGATCAGGCGTGGAAGGTGGCGAACAAAACGCCTAGTGCACCTCGGTGAAGATCTCCTCCACAAGCTAGTCATGGCTGGCCTGGGCAGTGCCGAAAATGAATGCAAAAAGCCTTGGCGGGAATGAACAAAGATGAAAAAACAAACTTGGCTTGACCCATGAAACAATCAGATTTCCCAAGCCGTTCCCAGCGAATATGGTCTTTGAAACTCAAGCAATCAAAAAAAATGCAAAATGAAAGCCATTTGATTGAAAACGTCTCTGCAGAGCAAAGGTCTGCATTCATAACAATTAAGTGGGCAGCACGCCTTCTCATCCCAACTGATTCTTATAAGGCCTGGAATCAAAACAGCGTCAGCCAGCAAAACAGCCTGGGCACCCGCACCAAAATCGTAAAACAACAAGCCTTCAAAACATGTCACCTATTGCAAAGGAGTGTTGAACCAAAAATCGGCGAATGAAACAATCAAATGATTCCACTTGCAAACGTGCGGCAACCATTGAGAAAAAACGTTTCATGCCATGCATGCCCCTCTTCATGCAGCATAGACCATGCATGGCAACCTCCAAAAAAAACAGAAAATGGTTATATATGTCGCATTTCCCGAATAATTATAAAAGAAAGATGCCAAAATGTTGATTTGTGGACAATTATTTGGTTTGAGTTGTTTTTCCATGACAAACAAAGCAAAAAATAATCGAACAAATCAAAGCTCGAAGCCAGGCAGGCCGACACATGCCTCTGAAAATCAAGGCTCACATCTCACAAACAAAGCTTGCAAGGCCCAAACTGGCAAGGTTATGTATGTTGTTTTAGCTCAAAAAGCATCTTCCTATAAGTAGGCTAAGTGACTTAGGCTCCATGCTCTGTAAGTGACTTAGCCCACTTAGAACTAAGTAGGTTAACCTACTTAGGCGACTTAGCTATAAGTCCGCTAAGTAGCCTAAGTCAATTAGCCATAAGTGGGCTAAGTTGCGTTGTATTTTTATATCTACTTACATAAAATAGTATCTAGATAGGCTAAGTGCTATGTACTTAGCTAAGTGGACTATGTGTCACCAATGACTTAGTCAACTTATATGTAGACTTAGGCTACATATAAGTATACTTAATGGACTTACTAAGTACATTATTAAGTATGCTAAATATCATAAGTACTTACTAACCAGGCTGATTCTCCAAGTACTACAAAGCTTGCACAAAGTCGTTCCCAGTACTACTGTGTACTACAAAGCTTAGACAAAGTCGTTCCCAGTACTACCATATACTACAAAACTCGCACAAACTACTTCCCCTGTAGACACGGCGACATCTACCCAGCAAAAGATACGAGGTCCTGCAGCTTCCCCTATAGACACGGCGACATCCACGCACCAAAAGACACGAAGTTTTGCAGCTTCCCCTATAGACACTGCGACATCTACGTAGCAAAAAACACGAGGTTTTGCAGCTTCCCCTATAGACACAGCGACATCTACGCAGCAAAGGACACGAGGTCCTGCAGCTTCCCCTATAGACAAGGCGACGTCCACGTAGCAAAAAGCACAAGGTTTTGCAGCTTCCCCTATAGGCACTGCGACATCGACGTAGCAAAAGACACGAGGTTTTGCAACTTCCCCTATAGAAACTGCGACATCTACGTCCCCTATAGACACGGCGACATCTACGTCGCAAAAAACACGATGTTTTGCAGCTTCCTCTATAGACACTGCGACATGCACGCAACAAAAACACGAGGTTTTGCACCTTCCCCTATAGACACTGCGACAACGACGCAACAAAAGACACGAGGTTTTGCAGCTTCCCTTATAGACACTGCGACATCGACGCAACAAAAACACGAAGTTTTGCAACTTCCCCTATAGACACTGGGACATCTACGTCGCAAAAGACACGAGGTTTTGCAGCTTCCCCTATAGACACTGCGACATCGATGTAGCAAAAGACACGAGGTTTTGCAGCTTCCTCTATAGACACTGCGACATCGACGCAACAAAAACACGAGGTTTTGCAGCTTCCTCTATAGACACTGCGACAACGACGCAACAAAAGACACGAGGTTTTGCAGCTTCCTCTATAGACACGGCGACATCTACGTCGCAAAAAACACGAAGTTTTGCAACTTCCCTTATAGACACTGGGACATCTACGTCGCAAAAAACACGAGGTTTTGCAGCTTCCCCTATAGACACTGCGACATCGACGCAACAAAAACACGAGGTTTTGCAGCTTCCCCTATAGACACGGCGACATCCACGTAGCAAAAGACACGAGGTTTTCCAGCTTCCCCTATAGACACTGCGACATCTACGTCGCAAAAAACACGAAGTTTTGCAACTTCCCCTATAGACACTGCGACATCTACGTCGCAAAAAACACGAAGTTTTGCAACTTCCCCTATAGACACGGCGACATCTACATCGGAAAAAACGCGAGGTTTTGCAGCTTCCTATATAGACACGGCGACATCTACGTCGCAAAAAACACGAGGTTTTGCAGCTCCCCCTATAGACACTGCGACATCTACGTCGCAAAAAACACGAGGTTTTGCAGCTTCCCCTATAGACACTGCGACATCTACGTCGCAAAAAACACGCGGTTTTGCAGCTTCCCCTATAGACACCGAATTAACGACGCGAAAAACGACGCGAAAACGATGCGAAAACGACGCGAAAAACGACGCGCCGACCAACTGGCGGCGAACAAAGGTCCAACCCCCAGACCCCCAACTATAAACGGGAACCCTTCGCTACGCATTCGGGAAAAAACATCGATTCAGGATGATTGAGATATCCCAGCATAAATTGAGCTATGAATTCCAATATTGATTGTATCTCATTTACACATCTCGAAAGGAAAACCACATGTTTTCGCCCATGAAATCCAGATACCCATGTAGCGAGTATCGTCAGGAGACACATGGAGCTACAACAGATGCAGAGGCCCGGCGAGCCGAAATGAGACAGTCGGGGTAAGGCAGGGCAACTCTTGGCTTTCCCCAAGGCGATGTTTTTTGTTTTCCAATGGGTTTGGCTGAGCAAATGCCAGTAATGTCTGGTATAATCAACATCCTGGTCCTTCACAGGGACCTTTTCAACCACCAAGTCTAGGTCACTAAACCCCCAAAAGGGTCACTTTATAGAGCCTGGATGGAGACTGCACTTGTCATGTACTGCAAACGGATTGTAGACAACCAAATATCATTCTCAACGTTCATCGACCCTGAGGTACGAAATACAACGCTGGAAACCATAGTTTTGCATTGGAACTCATCATTTTAGTTCCCTCTTGGAGGTGTAGGATGTGGTAGGGGAATGGGATTACAATTAACTAACATGCGGACTATTCAGAACTCGTGCAACCAAAATGATCAAAACGGAGGTGATCCCATACATTCTACCAATGGTAATTGAAACAGACCTAGCCATTTGAGGATCTGTCAAAGTCCGGACCGGTGGTATTGGCTCTGCCGAGTTCATGAAACCCCAATGGACAGTTTAGGAATAAACATCGCCAATATGTTCGATGAAGCAAGTAAACACATCAGGTAGTTTTATTACCAGGGGGGTATTTATTATTATGGAACTTTTTCATACGGTTAAAACCTTAATTTCTTAAAACTTGAGGACCCCACATCCAAGTTACCCCAGTAGCTCTTGTCACTACACTTGATAGGTCAATGGATAAAAGAGGATGTTGGGTATGGTATTAAGGGTCTAAATATACATTATCTTGTACATGAATACAATGCTTTTCTCTTAAATCAATCCATGGACATATCTTTTATAGTTAAATCATGTGAACCCCACCATTTTTCATGCTAGAACCAACATTTTCCCATTTTTTAATCTTGATCTCACCCAATTTTCGTGGGCAAAACACGTCCAGGACTGGGCCCAGAACTTCTACGTGGACAGCAAGTTGCTCCGCAGCGCCTCCCCGGCAAATCCATCAGCTCCGAGCCCGCGGCTCCCAGAGAGGATGTTGGGCGACTTGGGCTACGAGATTTGTTGAAACATGGGATTAAGATGTTGGTAACCTAGGGGTTGACTATAGTCTATAGTTAACTATATTTGTTGATACATAAGATTACATGAACCTCCAATTTTTTGATTAAC